TAAAAGGCTTCTACCCCCCCAGGGACGAGGTATGCTAACTTTCGCGCTATCTGGTTATTCTTGCCTTTGAAGGATTCTAACTTGAGCTTCGGAGCCCTTACGCCGGGTTCTCCCCGGAGCTTCTCTTCTCCTTCCGTTTCAGGTCCCTGTTACTCAGTTCAGAGGCAAGATCATCGACAGCTAAGACGGCCAGATTGTGCATCATCATCTAGTTTATGATAGCCTCCTTAGTTTACTGTGAGTAGGATCTCAATTATCTACAGCCAGTGGATGCAATATTGTTTTTGGAACCACGAAATGGTAGGTGCATTTCCATCTCTTTAGATTTTTAAGTTTGTTATGAAAATTTTTCTTACTGAAATTTTGGTTGCTTGAAATTATTAGAAAATAGTGTTGGGCTGGAATAGAATTTGCGAAATTGATAAGAAATCTAGGAAAACAGTGCTGGGCTGGAATAGAATTTCTGTTGCTTGAAGTTATAATGAGTTTCTACAATTCTTTGGGATGAAATCCATACAGTTCCATGATGATCATATGACATGGAATTTTGAAAAGGCTAGTCAATGCTATTTGAATTGTCTGATTTCTAGAAGATTTGGAGATTGATTGTGAGTGTTTTGACACTTAGGAGTAGTCCTAAAGAAATTCTCAGAAATTGAAGAAAAAACAGAGTTGTGAAGTCTTGCTTGGTTGAAGCTTAGGGAGCAGCATTTGGCATGGTGCTTGGGTACAAATTAATATAATTTTTTTGATCAATTAGGTAAAATTAATGTATATTGAAGTCTTTTAGAGATCAATCTTAGTTGCATAGCAATCTGACATTCTAGAGTGAATGCTCCTATTTCTCCCCTTTTATTTTGGTGCCAGGGGAATCTATCCCTTTGAATCTTGATTTTAGGTCAAGGATATTTGCATTTTAGGATTTAACATTCTAGAGTTTTTTTTTTTGTATTTTTTGCAATTTTCTGTATTTTTTGTTTTTTTTTCTGTATTTTATTTTTATATTTTCTATGTGTTTTGTACTGTATTATTTTTTATTTAGATAGTTTTATGTTCTGTACTTTTTCTGTTTTTTATTTAATTTTATGATATTTTTTTATTTTTAATTTATTTATGGCATCACGGGTCGAACCGCTCAACCTGGATGGTTGAACCACTTAACCGGAAACTGGTCCTTTGACTTGTTCTGTTTCCCATTTGTTTTTAAAAACCATGGACGTGGGAATTTAAAAGCCCATAAGGGGTTCTTAGAATATTCTCCGTAACAGTGGGCTGATACAAGAATCTGTTTCACAACATAAGGGGTTCTTAGAATATTCTCTCTCTTTGTTAAAGTTCAGTTAAATGAATGTGAAATCTATTGAGTTGGCCAATACCTTATTAAAGTTTGAACGTTATGAAGTGAATGTTATTAATTTGGACAATGCTTTATTTAAGTTCTAAGTGAGAGATCTGTATTAGAGAAAGAAGACTGCAATTTGTATATTTCAAGAAACCTTCTAATCTAAGTAAAAAATAATACTTAATTCTAATTGTAATTTGTTGCCTATTTGGTGTAAAAAACCATAGAAAATAGGATCCTTTGAATCTTTTCTTTAAATTTTTTCAAAAAAATTCTTTGTCTATTTGTCGTCGAAGCTATTCTCTACGCTGAGAACCTCAAACTCACCAGAGATGGGAAGGACGTTTGGATCTTCGACATCGATGAGACCATCCTCTCCAACCTACCTTACTATGCCAGACATGGATTTGGGTATGTATGTAAACTTTGTCAAGAATTCACGTTTGATGAGCATTATATAATGGACGACCACTAACTCTCCATAATTTTATTTCAGGGTAGAACCATTTAACTCAACGTTATTCAATGAATGGGTTAATACTGGAGAGGCACCTCCACTGCCTGAGAGCCTGAGGCTTTACAGGAAGTTGCTCTCCTTAGGTTTGAAGATTGTCTTCTTAACAGGAAGATCTGAAGATCAAAGAAAAGCCACCTCAACCAATCTTAAGAAAGCAGGATTTCATACTTGGGAGAAGCTCATACTAAAGTACAATTTCTTCTTAATTTCTTCTCAATTTTAATTTGTATATATTAATGGAGATATTGCTGATGACAAATATTGTTATATATATATATATATATATATGTTTTTGGTGACAGAAAATCATCCAATCAAGGAACCACAGCAGTTGTGTACAAATCAGGAGAGAGGAAGACGCTTGAAGAGAGTGGTTACAGAATTGTTGGGAACATTGGAGATCAATGGAGTGACATCTTAGGGAACAACACTGGAAATAGGACCTTCAAGTTGCCGGATCCTATGTACTACCTTAGTTGATTTTTAGGGTTGTTACTTATTGGTCCAATCTTTTCTTTTCTAGATTAATGAAATACCTGGATGTTTATTAATTAAGTAGTTAGAGCCAAAATGAAGATATTAAGGCAATAAATTTGTATTATTAATTAATAATTAGCTAGGCTAAAAGACTCTTAAACCCTCTCTCTGTGGTGAAGGGGTAGTTCGACCCCACAAATCCTTTCTGATTGTAAAAACAACGTGGGCAGTTGTGAATGACATCTCATAATGAGCGTACTATTTACACTCAATATTTTAAATAAATGAGTAAGGTGTCACTGGATTTCACTCAATATCTCGGTGAAATCACACCGACAAATATGACTTCCTCTTTCTTCTCAGAATGGATTAAGGCTCCCTTCACCGGTCTGTCAAGCTATGTTGTTAAAATGTGACACACATTTTAACTGAGTTCCAGTTTAGCCCAGAAACAACGTGGGCACTTGGATATGGACCGTTCAGCCCAGAAAGATCGAACTGTTGACTCGTTTGATTCAGACAACGGTTCACAGTTTAAAAAAGTTGTAGAAAGGAGAGAAACAAACGAACTCAGACCTGAGTTCTAGTCTGAAACACAAATTCAGATCTGAGATCCAGCGTGCGCAGAAGAAGAAGAAGACAGACGTTGCAGAGAAATCGATCTCAAATCTCAGATCTGCATCTGTTGCCACCGTCGTAGTTGTCACTGAGCATCAAATCATCCTCCTCCTCTTCCTTCTTTTTTCCTCCTTCCCTCCTTTTTCTTCCCTCCTTCCTTGCTTTCTTTTTTTCTCTTTCTCAGCTGACGGCAGTCTTTTCTCCAGTTCTCCTTTGAGTCCTTTCTCATATTAGTATTTACCTTAATACAAACAGTCTGAACTTTTCAAATCAGACGGTTGAACTGTTGACCTGGAAACCGGTAGTTAGAACGATTTCATTTCTGGGTTAATTTTTAAAACCTTGATTTTACTCACCTGAAATAGCAATGTGATACTCATCCAGAAAACCCAGAAGGCATGCATGGTTAAACTTGAACATTCATGTCAATCATGCAATCGACAAGTAACAATCTCCAAAACCAAATCTATAGTATCCTTCAATTCTGCTCTGACCCAGAACGACGATTACATTGAATCCATTATCCAAATTAATCTTGAAATACCTTGCCTTCTTCTCCTCTCCTAGATCTTTGCTTGGCTAGACAACCCCGAGACCTCTGTTAGTTATTGGTAAATAAGTGAATTCTAACTAGAAGACAACAGTGGCATCACTAGATTAGCTACTGATCGAGAATGACTTAGGAGAAGTCCACAGCAGCTTCATAGCTCTGCATTAACTCAACTGCATCAAGATTTCTTATGGGTTAACTAGTATTTTCTCCCTTTGTGGAATAAGACTGAATGCAACTTGTCTTCTTCAGATAGCTTAATTATCTAATTTTTTATGATAATGGATTTTTTCTTGATTATCTGTAAGTGGTCTCAAATTTAAATCAGATTTTACATTTTAGTCATAGTTTGAATTTTGTTGTTGCTGCAGATGTAGGGCTGGTACGGGTGGATAAGCACAGCAGTGCTGTAGGTTGGGAGGCCCCGGGCTGGGCTGGGAAGGGTGCAACCCGAACTAGGCTAAAAGTTTGTTGATATTTGGTGGTATTTACCACTAATATTTCATTTCTAAAATTGGGTGGTTGCGGGAACCAAATCCACATCTATGCTCGAACAATCCAATTAATACACCAAATGAGTCAGCCCTCAGCCGGAAACTAGGCTACCTAAGGGTAGGCCAAGATTGAAGACCGAGGTTAAGGTGGTTTAGGGTTTTGTGTTGGTGGCCAAAGGCTAGGAGGGTGTTTGGTTCTTCATGTAACCGTTTTTGGTCATGTATCAATTTTTTTTTTTTTTGTGATGTACCAATTATTGGCTAAGTACTTCGTCATTTGACCTGCTCCTAGGTGGCCTGTGACTCAGAAGATGATGGATCTCCCTGGTGGCGAACTCCCTGGTGGTGAGCTACTTGGTGGCGAACTCCCTGGTGGTGAGTTACTTGGTGACGAGCTCCCTGGTGGTGAGCTACTTGGTGACAAGCTCCCTGGTTGTGAGCTACTTGGTGAGGAGCTCCCTGGTGGTGAGCTACTTGGTGACGAGCTCCCTGGTGGTGAGCTACCTTGATGAGCTGTTGGGTGCGCTACCTTGGTGGTGAGCCTCCTAGTGTAGTGCAACCCGTCTACCCTCTGCATGAGATGATATGCTCCTCTTCATAAACGGCGGGAGCCGATGAACCTGCAAGAACTAAATTAGAGGACCCGTGGGTGTTTACCCGACGGGGACACTCCGATGCTTAAGTTAGCACTCTGATAGTAGAGAGCTTGAAGATGATATTAGAGAAATGAGAGAGCTAGAGAGCAAGGGTTACCTCCATTTTTCATCCCCTTCCCCTCTGGGGGGTCGGAGCTCTTACATAGCGGTGTTCTAACAGATTTGGTGTAACCACCTCTGATTCTCTGCCGTAGTCGTTACTTGCTAGGGCTGAGCAGGTGGGCGCAGGTAACCATTGCAGGGTACGGTCCTACCAGGTGTCGAGCTACCTGTGAGGTGCCAAACTAACTAAGTGTCGAGCTACCTGTGAGGTGCCGAACTAACCAAGTGTCGAGCTGCTTGTAAGGCGCCGAGCTGACCAGGTGCCGAACTACCTGTGAGGTGTCGGGCTGACCGGGTGCCGAGCTACCTGTGAGGTGCCGAACTGACCAGGTGGGTGCCTTAGAGATATGATTGCGCTGCATCAGCCTCGTAATTCCAGTCACCTACTCCTACAAGAAGCTACTAGGAGCTCGACCTTCGGGGGCAGCACTACTAACTTTAGGTCGCCAGCTCACATGGGAGCCTTGGAAGGCTCGACCAGCAAGGGCGCCCGTGCAGTCTATTGGCCGCCAACTCCTGCGGAAGCCACGAAGATTTCGTCTTTGTAGGGGGAACCTCACGAAGAGGACTGATGAGGTTTTATCTGAATTGAAAGTAAAGTTGGTAGAGCTGCTTAGCCTGTTAGCTCCCTACACAGTCTTTGAGTTCATACAAAATGGAAACTATAAAGCGAGAGCTTCAATTTCTAAAAAGTGAGGACTTAGCTTTTTGGGGGGAGAGGACTTGGCTTTTTGCAGGATGAGAACTTAGCCTTTGTAGGATGAGAACTTAGCTTTTGTAGGATGAGAACTTAGCTTTTTGTAGCGTATTCCCACAGACGACACCAATTGATGTAACCGTTTTTTGTCACGTACCAATTTTTTTTTGTGATGTACCAATTATTGGCTAAGTACTTCGTCATTTGACCTGCTCCCAGGTGGCCTGTGACTCAGAGGATGATGGAGCTCCCTGGTGGCGAACTGCCTGATGATGAGCTACTTGGTGACGAGCTCCCTGGTGGTGAGCTACTTGGTGACGAGCTCCCTGGTGGTGAGCTACTTGGTGACGAGCTTCCAGGTGGTGAGCTACTTGGTGACGAACTCCCTGGTGGTGAGCCACCTAGTGTAGTGCAACCTGGCTGCCCTCTGCATGAGATGATCTGCTCCTCTTTGTTCACAGTGGGAGTTGATGAACCTGCGAGAACTGAATTAGATGACCCGGGGGTGTTTACCCAGCAGGGCCACTTCGATACTTAAGTTAGCACTTTGATAGTAGAGAGCTTGAAGATGATATTAGAGAAATGAGAGAGCTAGAGAGCAGGGGTTACCTCCATTTTTCATCCCCTTCCCCTCTGGGGGGTCGGAGCTCTTATATAGCGGTGTTCTGACAGATCTGGTGTAATCGCCTCTGATTCTCTGCCACAGCCGTTACTTGCCAGGGCTGAGCTGGTGGGCGCAGGTAACCATTGCAGGGTACAGCCCTGCCAGACAGGGGACGCTTGTCAGGGACTAGCAAGCACGACGCTGCCTGGCCAAAGTCATGGGAGCAGTCTCCAGATCTGGCAGGTACGGTTGCCAGGTAGGAAATCTTCCTGCGATACGCTGAACTACTCTACAACGAGCTACCTTGCACCGAGCTACTTTTCACCGAGCTGCTTTTCACCAAGCTGTCGGTGATGTGCCGAGGTGCTTCCACCCGAGACAAGTCTTTGTGGCCTGATAGGAGGCGAGCTACCTATAAGTGGCCAGCTTTCTGTAAGTGTCGAGCTACCTGTGGCGAGCTGCTTATGCTGAGCTGCCTGTAAGTGTCGAGCTACCTGTGGTGAGTTGCCTATGCCGAACTGCTTGTAAGTGCCGAGCTGCCTGTAAGTGCCGAGTTGGCCCTAAGTGGGGAATTACCTATGCCGAGCTACCTATAAGTGCCAAGCTGCCCGTAAGTGGCGAGCTGCCTGAAGGTGATGAGCCCCCTGTAGCTAGCTCGAGTTGTCTAGTTGTCAAGAGGTTGCACTTAGTTGGCATGAGGTGTCAAGTGTCATAATTTCGTTGGAGGGTCAAATCCGCCCTCATCAGTTCCGTTTACGTTTGTTAAGTAAATGTTTTGTACTTGTGTGACTGCAAAACCAAGAAAAGCAATTAATGAGGGCATTTATGACATGTAGACGCCATTAAGCACCACATCAGCAAAATGTCAATAAACTCCTACCCATTTCAGGAAGCTCCAAAATGAATCTTCTTGAAATGGGAGAGGCACACAGTTTTGCAAAATTTGATACATACAAATGCAATTAATGAGGTATTTGCTGGTGGAGCGCCTATGTGGCACCGTAAATAAACGTTTACTCAATAAACATAAATGGAACTAAACATATACGAGGTGGGTTGAATTCATTGGTTGAGGCTAGGCATTGGGTTGAGCTGTGGTTAGGCCAAGGCAAACTAGGGCCAAAGTGAGCTGAGTATGCGGAGATGGCCTCGGGCTGAGTTTGTCTAGGTGCCTTCAATTACAGCTGCAGAAAAGGCCAAGCTGGGCGAGAACAAGTTGGAATCAGGGGGAAGCTTAAACCATGAACTGATTACCATTACCAGTGTGGCATCACACACAAAAGCTACAGATTGTCATCACGAACTAGTTGCCATAATTTCAGTGACAAGTGTTAGTGAACAATAAGGGGAAATAGGTCGAACACTTTACTGGCAAGTTAAAATCGACTTCATATGTTTGCCGCGGTAAGAATTTGATCAATGAAGTTCTTAGACAAGTTTAGAAAGTTAGATTGCAAGATAGAGACATGGTTCGTACCCAGAAGCATTTTACGGTGGAAGTCAAGCTCACCATGTAGCTGTCATGGGTCATCTGGTGGTTGGAAGTCTAGTTTTTGGCATAACTTAATGGTTTTCTTCTATTTTTGAAATTGACAGCTCCGGTCTTTCAATTGCCTGAGACTTTTAAATTTTAATTCACTAGTAATTAATCACGTGCAAATATGAAATTTTTTTTCATATTAATTACGTGAATTTTATATATATCGTAGTTAAGATAGAAATTAAAAATTAATACAAGTAATAATATGATTAAAAATAAACTTAAATACTTGTACTAAATGTGCACCTTCATAAATTTCAAATTACAATAGCAATTATTATTATTATTATTATTAATATTATTATTATTATTACTACTACTACTACTACTACTACTACTAAATTTTATATTCTATTTCTGTCTTAAATAAAAATAATTTTTATTTTAACAATTATTTTTATTTAATATGATGATATATAACATTAGAAATGTCACGATATGTCTTTGACAAAACTCCATACTTTTTTTTGTGTTCTATCTTTTTTAAATATTTATTATTCAATTTATGACATCATGAATTTCTTTGAAAAGTTGGATCATTGACACCACCATTTAAATAACAAAAAAGCTTTGCCTTCATATCAGTTCAATTTTAAATTATATATTTCACCAGCATTATATAAATAATTTTTACTTATCACCATTAATTTTTGTTTGACATAATTAATATATAATTTTTTATATATTCCTTTGATTATATTATATCTTATGTATAATATTTATTTTTTTTATTCTTTGTATTTTCTATTTTAAAAATGTTATTGTCATTTTTAGGTTGATTTTAATTTTGGGTCCATTTTCGTCATTTATAAAAATACTTATTACATTTCATACTTATTTTTGTTCAGTATAATGAATATACAATATTAGTGACATGCCCAATTCTTTTTTTTATTATATATTTTATTTATTTTAATTTTTTATTATTTTATTATGACATTACTTATTAACGCATTTGACTCCTTATGATTGAATTGCTTACCCACCACTGAGAGTGAAGAAAATGGTTTTGTTTTTAAATTATTTTTCAAAATATTTATTTTTATATTATTAAAATTAATGTTGTGGATTTAATTAGTAGAATTCTATGATGAGAAAAATATATCTTAAATATAGGATTTAATAAGAGAATATACCTTAGATATGAGATTTAATGAGAGATAATAGGAAAATAGTTTTACTTCCAAATTCCAATTGGTTTTAAAATTTACATTCCATTTCCATCATTAATAAAAACATTTCTTATTTATCATCAATGTTTTTAACCTGTTATTGATTATGGGTTTGGTTTTATTGAAACCCCCCTTTCAGTTAAAAGCCGTCTAACCCAAATGGTTCAACCATTGACCCGTTCAACCTAATAAGCAAGTCGTAGGTTGTGCACTTAATTATGGGTAAACTTTTGGAAGCCATAACATTGCACTTTGATGTCCGATTGAGGTTATCTTTTTTTTATTATTATTTTGAGTAACTTTTCAAAATCTATACATCCTAAGGGCTTTACGTACTTTGCCTTGCCATTTTTGTGAAAAAAAACCCTTTTTTGGGCCTCAATTGCAATTTTTAAGGCAATAAATGTGTATTATTAATTAATAATTAGCTAGGGTAAAAGACTTTTAAGCCCTCTCTCTGGTGAAACCAGAGAAGATGGGGTATAGTTCGACCCCACAAATCCTTTCTGTTTGTAAAAACAATGTGGGCAGTTGTGGATGACATCTCATAATGCATGAGTGTGGGTAAAATAGTATTTACACTTATTTTAGACAAATAAGGATCTGAATTAGCTAATGAGGATATGCTGATGTCATTAGACAAAGACTTCCCATCCCCCTTCCCTCACCCTTTGTCAACCCCCATTATTAAAATGTGACACACCTGTTAATTTGTTTTCAAAATCCAACTAACACACCTATGGGTGGTTGCGGGAATCAAATCCACGTGTATGCTGAAACAATCCAACTAACACACCAAGTGAATCACCCCCGCAGCTGACGATCTAAGCTAGCTAAGGGTAGGCCAAGATTGAAGACCGAGGTTAGGCGGTTTGGGGTTTCGTGTTGGTGGCCGAAGGCTAGGTGGGTTGGGTTCATCGGTTGAGGTTAGGCATTGGGTTGAGTTGAGGTTTGGCCGAGGCAAACTAGGGCCAAAAGTGAGTTGAGTATGCCGAACTGGTCTTGGGCTGAGTTTGGCCAGGTGCTTCAATTACAGCTGCAGAATAGGCCAAGCTGGCCAAGGACAAGTTGGAATCAGGGGGAAGCTTAAACAATGAACTGATTATCATGACCAATGTGCCATCACACATAAAAGCTATGAGACTGAATCTGCTCCTCACACCTGGCATCTTAAAGGCGCCGAACGTTTTCAAATTGCCGTTGATACAGACAGTCGGACCCTTCGGCCCATGAACCGTCCAGGAAATCGTTTCTGTTTTACCTAAAATCTGAAATCTGGTAAAAACTCATTGAAAAAGTCAATAAACCATTAACCCGTTGACCTGTTTAATGATTTTTGACTATTTTTTTAATTTTTTTTAATTTTACTATTAGATCAGGCCATCCATCAAACCATTAACCCAAAAATCGATGGCCAGAACAATTCCATTTCCAGATAATTTTTTAAAACGTTGCAGGAGCCTCACACACATCCTACCATGCATTAGAAACATCTCTCATACTTATTAATTATTATTCACGGGAGATGTTGTGAATGTGCATAAAACTATTTACCATCGTCTTACCATAATTTCAGTGGAAAGTGGTAGTGAACCAAGGTAAATGGAAACGTCAAATCCGTAAGGGGAAATAGGTCGAACAGTTTACAGGCAAGTTTAAATCGACTTCATATGTTTGCCGCCGTAAGAATTTGATCAATGATGTTTCTTAGACAAGTTTAAAAAGTTAGATTGCAAGATAGAGATATGGTTCGTACTCAGAAGCATTTTGCAAATGGCGTAAAACAAGAAAACTACCTTTGCTTTTGTTCAAAACACAGAGACGAGTGAAATACAAACACGAGTCTTAAAGAGAGTCGAAAGGGGCCGTAAAGAGTCTAATATTAATCTGCCTTCCCTCATGCTTCACGAGTCGAGGCACAAAACCTCGCGTCAAGTGTAGTCTACGGAGCCTGACTACAGGCCGTTTACGGAATGACTTAAGGACTCTGCATGAGTCTTAAAGCAGCGAGTTCAGTGCGTAAGACCCTTTAGAGAGAGGGTCGTTAGAGAAGAACGGGCCATCTGGTGGTTGAAAGTCAAGCTCACAATGCAGCTGTTATGGGTCATCTGGTGGTTGAAAGTCTAGTTTTTGACATAATTGAATGGTTTTTTTCTATTTTTTAAATTGACAGCTCTCGTCTTTCTATTGCTTGAAACCTTTTAATTCATTTAGGGTTTTTAAATTGAGGTCGGTTAATGGTTTCTTCGAGCAAGCAAGTAGATCTGAAATCTACAGAAATCTGTACAGTCTGTTCGTAGCTTCTGGTTTGTGTTAACGATGTTTGTATGTGACTGTCTAACAGGTCTACAATTTGGAGATGCTGCTGCTGCAAGCGCCCAGCCGGTTGACGAATCTGGGGATGACCCAGAATCGCAACCTCAGCCAATTACTTAGCCAAAAGCTGGTTCCAACCAAAGAGCCCAACCCCATCAAGCGATACTACCGGAAGGCGGCCTACTTCCTAGAGGACAACTGGAAGCGAGTTTGGGTGCTGGTGCTCTGGGTTTCCATCTGCGTCGACCTCTTCACATGGAAGTTCATCCAGTACCGGCGTTTTCTTCATCATTCTGTTCGTTGGTGAACTTGGTAATTAAACGAGGAAACTGGGGGCATTTCGATAGTTCTAATTTTTGGCTTTTCTCTGTCAAGTGCGAATGGAAGAGACAAAGTAGAGATGGAAGATGGAAGGGATCATGATGTGTATAGAAGCTGAGATTTTGGTAAATCTTATAGTGATGATGATGTGTGTGTAAGGAGGACATTTGCATCGCTGGAATCTTTGTAATCTTTTTATCTTTCTTTCTTTCTTTTTGGGTTTGAAGAAGGAGAAGAAGAGTGTGATATAAATGTGAACCAGGACTTACAGTTTGCACCACCCATTACTGTATTCAGCAACCAGTTGCAGTGGCTTGGGAACGTATGGACGTGCTCAAAGAACATCATTTCATTGGTGAATGGATCGATGATTTGACGGGCGGTGGACCTTACTTTGACCACAAGTGGACCAGACTCAGGCTTCCGAAACCCCTCAAGAAGCTTATTGGTTTCATTGCGTTCTGGTACTCTGACCACCTGTTTGATGCGAGCGCTTGATTCGCGCCTTCAGGTCTGGCTATAAGACAGTGAAGATTTTGAAGGTAAGATCAAATCTCATAAAACCCAATATTATATTATCAATTGCAAGATATTACAATGGAGATTCATTAATTCCTTGTGCATACTTCTGTTCATTTTCAATTCCTCAAGTTGCCGTCTATCCAGGATATGTGCTGTCACTCAATGTGTCTAAACCCCAAGGATTTGAGTACAGAAGTGGGCAATATATCTTTGTCAACTATTCAGTTGTTTCTTCTTTGCAATGGTACACACATAATTGAGCAAAATTCCGTTTGGCTTCTACCATATAAAAATTCTGCAGTTGGTTGAAGTTGTTACTGATGATCATGCTTTGTTTCTGCTATGTTCTTTCTTCAGGCATCCTTTCTCTATCACACAACCAACCCCCGGAGATGATTATCTGAGCATTCATATTCGCACATTAGGTTACTGGACATCGTAGCTCAAAGCTGTATTTGCTCAGGTACACGATTGCAGATTAACTCCTCTGTCTGTGTGTGTATGTGTGTTTTAGCAAGCAATTAATAATCATTCATGTCTACAGCCCCGGCACAGGACTACAAAGAATATGATGTCTTGCTCCTTGTTGGGGTGGGGATTGGAGCCACACCACTGATCAGTATAGTTAAAGACGTTTTGAACAACATCAAGCAACAGAACGACGTTGAGGAAGGTGCCGTAGAAGCTGGATCCAAGGCCAACAAGAAGAAACCTTTTGCCACGAAACGAGCCTACTTCTACTGGGTCACCCGTGAACAGGGCTCATTTGACTGGTTCAGGTTCAGGGGAATACTGAATGAGGTTGTAGAATACTGAATGTGGTTAATGCACGTCGCTGTTAACCACACTGATACATATAAAATTTGTATTTCTTTTAGGAATTATAAGTTTAATAACTTTGTAAGATTTATAAAATTTGTATTTCTTAATATATGTTTTTCATAGATTAATTGGTTCATTACATTAGTGATCCGGATTTGGATTCCACAACTATAATTTCCGATTAATAGATACATAAGATAATAATTACTGTAATTAATTACTGATTATTACACTAATTTAATAAATATATAATTAGTGATTATAATTAATAATTACTGTTATTATTATAAATATGGTTAATAACTAGATATTTACTTTAATTTTAGTTTAAATTAAAAAATACTATTAATAAATTTAGTAACCCAGTTTTAATAATTACTGATTATTATAGTAATTTAATAAATATATAATTAGTGATTATAATTAATAATTACCATTATTATAAATATTATTAGTAAATAGATATTTACTTTAAATTAAAATTATAAATACTGTTATTAATAAATACTATTAATAAATTTGGTAATTATTGTTATATTAAAAATAATTAAAAATGTTATTAAAAGTATTGTTATTGATTGTTTAATAAAATATTATAAATCACTGACTATTACTAATAAATACTATTAATTTTATTTTATTTTGGTAATTATTAATTTAATGAATATTGTTAATAAATCTTATTCATAAATTTAATAATTACTGTTATATTAAAAATAACTAAATAATATTATTAAATCTATCATTAATGATTATTTAATTAAATAGTATAATTACTTACTATTATTGATAAATGTTAATAACGTTCTAAAAACTGACATTTCCACCGTCCGATTCAAACGGATGGCCCATTCTGGCAACAAAAATTACAAGCAAAAAATTACAGAACCATTCTGGCCACTAGTTTTCGGGTCGACGGTTCGAATGAATAGTGTGTTCTGACAACAAAAATTATAGGCAAAAAATTGAGTTTGTAAGGTCCATTAACTAGTATCATACGTGTTATGCCATTCGAGAGTGTAACTCATACAACCTAAAAATGGAACCGTTCTGGCCATCGGTTTTTGGATCGACGGTTCGACCGTTCGGTTTGAACAGACGACCCATTCTGATAACAAAAAATTATAAGAAAAAATTTACGGTACCGTTTTGGCCACCAATTTTTAGGTCAACGATTCGATCGTCCTGTTCGAACAAACAACCCATTCTAACAACAAAAATTACAAGCAAAACATTAATGTGTCATTCGAGCGTGTAACTCATACGACCCGAAAATGGAACCGTTCTGGCCATCGGTTTTTGGGTCGACGATTCGACCGTCCAGTTTGAACAGACAACCCGTTCTGACAACAAAAATTAAAAAAATAAAAAAACAGTCAAAAACCATTGAACAGGTTAACAGGTTGACGGTTCGACCACTTAAGTCAATGGGTCGTTGACCGATTCAATGGTTTTTGGCCAAGGACCAGGATTGGGGTAAAACAAAACTAGTTGCCTAAGGATGGCCCATTCTGACAACAAAAATTACAAGCAAAAAATTGAGTGTGTAAGGTCCATTAAGCAGTACCACACGTCTTATGTCATTCGAGCGTGTGATTCATACAACCTGAAAACGGAATCGTTATGGCCACTGATTTTCGGGTCAATGGTTCGATTATGTTCAGTTCGAACGGATGGCCCGTTCTAACAATAAAAATTAAAAGCATAAAAAAAAACAACCAAAACCTATTGAACAGGTCAGCGGTTCAACCGCACGAGTTAATGGGTTGTTGACCGATTCAATGATTTTTGGCTAGGGAGTAGGGACTGAGATTAGGATAAAATGGAACTGGTTGCCTGAATGGTTCTCGATTAAAAAAAATAAAAAAATAGCCAAAAACCATTAAATGGGTCAACGGGTCAATGGTTCAACTGCTTAGGTCAATGGGTCATTGATTGGTTCAACAGTTTTTTACCAAGGACTAGGTCAACGAGTCGACGGTTCCATTCCATCCCCTGCGAAGCAAAGCCCCTCCACTTGTTGATTATTGAAATGGATTAAAACATGATTATTGGAATGAATTAAAACCAAGCCTGGCCCAGATCGACAGCGGATTAGCCAGAGACAAAAACATATACATCCGACTGAATTACTTATGACCAATATCATGGTTGAACACACCAGTGTTTAGTATAGTTGGGTCCCAGATGGAGCCCACAATGAGCATTAATTTGTTCAATTATGATAGGCAGTTCAGCCGGGTGTGTATGCTTTTGTCTCCAATTCATCCGGACTTTACATAGCTATTATCCATATTAAAACTTGGGAAAATTCCCGATTAATACCTTGTACTTTGGGCCTAGTGCCACTTTGGTCTTCGAACTTTAAAATGCAACAATTCAGAACCCGAACTTTCAAAATGTGATAACCCAGTACCTGTCGTTAACCAGTCATTAAGTGGTATTTGAAAAAGACACAAATGCCCTTCGAATGTCATCTAATTTTCTTTATCAACCATCCAAACATTGACAAAAAATTAACAGTCTCAAATTCTTGCCTCTTCTATTCAAGAAAGTTGGGGTCACCAAAATGCCCATACAAACATGACCCAACTTTCTTGAATGGAACAGGCAAGGAATTGGGACTATTAATTTTTTCTCAACGTTTAGATGGTTGATAAAAAAAAATTAAATGACACTTCAAGGCATTTGTGTCTTTTTCAAATGTTACTTAATAGTAAGGACTAGCTCTATAAAATGCCATCCAATGTTTTGTGGTGATGCACGATCTGCTCTCTCCCCCGTGTCCAATGACTGGGATCGAACTAGGATCTGATTTGACAGTGTTGAGTTGTGATATCGAGCTGGAAAGAGCTGTGAAGAAAGAAAGGTTAGAGTGCTTGGGTAGGTTTTACCCAGGAAAACACCTCGATGCTTAAGTCCTAATTGGGGTTTCTGTGAGGATATGTGAGAGAGTTTAAGAGCTTTAGTGCGCATACCTTTTAGGGTGGATTTGGAGTATTTTTTATAGCTATCTAAGGTTCTCTTTCCATCAGGCAACGTCTCTGAGTCTTGTGGAACTGTTTCTGTAGTTTAAGGCATGCTTGAGCGTTAGTTGCTAGATTCGCGTAGCAGTTACAGGTTGTCTATGGGTCTTGTGGCGAGCAGTTTGGCAAGTTGTTCCAATGGTTGTGGTAACGGTAGCCCGAGCTTGCCCTAGCTTGGCTACACACCTGATGTCGGTTACCACATGTTGACTTGTCGAGCTATCTTGCTAACTTGGACATTGTGTTGTCAGCAACATCCACGTGTCGGTAGTTTCATGGGGTAACCAAAATGCCCCTCATCAATTGCCCCTCACTCTCAAGCCACTGCCCAGCGGGTGAAGAGAGTAGGAACTTCTGGGGCGTTATGGGTCTACTTGCTTTTGTTGGTGGTTCAGTTCGTCTGGTTTGGGCTTGGCCCGAGCTGCTTCTTCTGGAATCTTCTAAAGCAGGTGGCTTCGTGCACGCGGCGTTCGTGGTGGGCGATTTGAATTTTAAATGCGCACCTAAATTCAAACTGAGTGTGTGCACTTGTTTTTGAACTTTCAAATTGGTGTGCTCTTTTGAACTGTTGCTAGGCTGTCCCGCACCTGTGCCATTGAATTCCTGGCTGCGCGCCTCTGCCGGTTGTAGTCCCCATCTGGGCCAGCAATCCCACTTCTCGCGAGCTATAAATATGGGGGCCTAATCATATTCACTGTTTTTGGACTTTTCCAGAGGAAGAGGGTGTTCTGCAAGTTGGTTTCCAGCACCGAACTACTGAGATGAGCTTTGTTTTTTAATGGCAAGCTATTCTTTTTCCTTATCTTGACTATTGTTGGATTGAGCCTACTGTTAGTCATTATCCTTGGGACCAATGTAGAGAGGGGTTGTGTGCTTACGAGGAGTCTCTGGTGGTTGGCCTTCGTTTTCCCCTTCATCCTTTCATTACTGCAATACTGAGGCGCTACATGGTGTCGTTGGGTCAGCTCACCCCTATCGGGGTTAGGACATTGGTTGGGCTGATCAGTCTGTTCCACCACCGAGGCTTCCTTTGTGTCTGGAGGCCTTCTCATCTCTGGTACAAATGAAAAGAATTTCTGGCCCGTTTTGTTTTTACCTTCCTTTTCGCAGTGGGAGGAAGATTTTTAACTTCCCAAACAAGGTCAGGGACTGGAAGCAAAGGTTCTTTTTTATTGAGAAGGATGGTGGTTGGGGTATCGACATTACCTAGTACAGTAGTTGCCAAAAGGTCATTGTATGCAAGAATGTTGAGCTACAGGCTGCTATCCAACAGCTCGCCTAGGAACATGCTAAGATTGTAGAGTTTCTAGCTGAGTTGATGCTTGTGTAGGCAAGACTTAGCTATATAGGTGGGTCGGTTGTCAAGTCGCATGTTGCATGTTTTCTTCCGGTCATATATTTACTTATTCTCCTTTTCTCTGTTATCTCATCTACTGATGTTCTGTCTTTATCTGCAGGTATGGCGAGCTTGTCTTCTATGATGTCAGCTGAGGAGGAGTTGAGGTCTTCTCGTAAGAAGCGTTGAGCTGAGCGTAAGTCATCCAGGGGGAAGGTTTCTTTATCTAGAACCCTTCCAATTGTCGACCTGGAGGGGGAAGGGGACCCGATGTGCACTGAGCAGCACCCGCAGGAGCCGCAAGTTGCCTAGGAGGAGTAGGAGGCCAGCCTTTATGTATCCAACATCCCTCCCTTTATCCCCAGCATCCCTGATGTGTCTGTGATCGATCGGTCGAGCGATGCTCGTGTAGCTTTTCAATTGGGTAGGGGCATACATCTTCCTAAACACTTGCGGTGGTTCAGTGAGTTGGACCTTGTCAAGACTGGGGCCTGGTTGACCCAGTGTATCATCCAGGTTTGTTTCTTTTTCGGCTGAAAACTTCTTGATTTCTTTCTGCGGGACACCTTACTTTGTTTCTGATTTTCGCAGGTGAACACTTATGGCCAAGTTCTGTTGGACCGAGCTTGCTCTAGGCAGAAGGAAAGGGCTAGCATGCAAGCTAATATCAGCCTACTTAACGCCAAGGTGCAGAAATTCAGGATTGATTCAGAGAGGGAGCATTTCTTATGAGAAAGCTAAATAATAGAAAGGGTCATGTATTAAAACACCTCCTATTGCTTCATGGATTTACTAAAATCTACCCTATAGTTTGAATTTTACTAAAACACCACTTATAATTTGTAATGGATTTAATCAATCTTCCATTAGATGATAGTGGAAAATGATAATGTCGACCTTATGTTCATTCATATAATTTAATCAAAAGAAAATAAAAAATACCATTTTTACCCCTAATAAGACATGGGCAACCACTCTGTTGGCTATATTTGGTCAATTTCATTTTCTATAAAAAGTGTTAAGGGTATTTTTGGAATAAAAAATCATGGGCCTAATGGCAAAACAAACACTCCTTAATGAAAGGTTGATTAAGTAAATAAGTTGTAAAATATATGGGATATTTTAGTAAAATAAAAACTATAAGGTAGGTTTAAGTAAATATGTAAAACTATAAGGTGTGTTCTAGTAAATGACCCTAATAGAAACACATAAGAGTAAACAATTATTTTATATTTTCAACTTTTTAAAATATTAATAATTATTCATGTTTTATATACTACTTTTAATAAATTTTTTATAATACAAAATAACAATAATTAGTTTCAATTAGGTTTATTCATCAAACTGATGAAACCAACCAACCTGATCAACTTGACCCGAGTTACATTGGTCAATTTTCTAATATTTTAGGTTGGCTTTGGTTCAAAAATTTTCCCACTCAACCAAGTTGGATCAGTTATGCTTTGGCCATTTGTAAACCAACCCAGATCAGATGACCTGACCATTGATATATATTAATATTTTATATTTTAAATATGATTTTAATATGGAAAACTGGGAAATTTCCCATATTTTTTAGTCTAAAATGTTTTATATCATAAATTTATTTTTTAACAATTGCACTATAATTTTTAAAATTTAAATTTAATTTTTAAGTTTAAATCTTTTGAATTGATTAACCAAACCAAAAAGTCAACCCAAACCGATACAATCTGAGTGAGTCGATTGTCACAAATGGTCAATTGGTTTCAGCTGACCAACTCCCCAACTTGACTAGCTCAATTTGGTTGGCCAAATAGCCTGCAATCGAACCGAACCAACTCATGTACACTCATAATTTCAACTAAATCAATAGTCTCATCTCTCATAAGTAACAATACTTTAATCTCCAATAATTATTGAAAATTTATAACAAAATACACAATTTTTGTTAAAATATATTCATAATTAAAAATATAATAATTACTAAAAATATATTAAATCATACAATAAATAGTATAATCTCAAATAATAGTTTAATCTCTAATAAATATTAAAGTTATAACAGAAATACAATATGTACAATAAACAAATTTAAAATTTTCAATAATATTAGTTTAAACCCAACAATTATTGAAAGTTTTCTATTAAATAATGAAACAAAAATAATTTTATCACAAAAAACAATAAATAATTACTGAAATGCAAAAAATATTAATATTAGTATATATAATCATATAATAAATATATATTAAGAGTTTAAAATTATCATTTATAAGAATTATTTTTTATGAAAGTTATTTTCTTGAATTATTAAATGATATAACTGAAATTAGTTATTTACAATATTATGTAAAAATATTAAATTATTATTAAAGTTATTTCATTATTAATTTTGTAAAATATTAAATTATTATTAATTTCAAAATTATTTTATAACTATTTTTCTACTTTCTAGATTTTTTTTAAAATTTATTACATAACTTCTATATTTTAACTAATTTAAAATACATTTATGTTAAATATTTTGTTATTTAAATACTTAAATATTTTGTTATAATTTATACTATTATTACATAATTTCATTATTACTTTTGTAAGATATTAAACTTATTATTAATTTCAATATTATGTTATAATTATTTTTCTACTTTTAAGAATTTTTTTAAATTTATTACATAATTTTGTTATTTTATCGATTTAAAATCTAGTTATGATAAATATCTAGCTATTTAAATATTTAAATAATCTATAAAATATTGAAAATTTTTTGTTATTTGAATTTTATTTATTTTAATCTACTACATATTATTAAATATTTGAAAAACATTTGAATTGATAATCCGAAAAAACATAATTTATATTGTTATTACATATTTTTCGATATATTTTGTTAAGATGTAAAATTATTTTTGTGTTTTTAATAAATATTTTAAAGTTATTATATTATTTTGTTAGAATATTTAAATAATTCTTAGGTTTTTTTATCCAAGATTTTTTAGATAAATATAGATAAAAAGTAGGGGAGAGGATAAATAAGAATTAAAGATAATTTAGTAGAGAAACTCTCTACTAAATTAGAGACAATTTTGAAGATAAATAGGAATTAGAGATAGTTTAGAAGATAAATAGGAATTAGAGATAATTTTGGTGAAAGTGGGGATAGTGGGAGAGGTAGTTTAGGAGAAATTTTAGGAGAAGAAATTATTTAGGTTATTGAGAAAGTGCATCTCATTTGTTGTTTCAAAAATGACATGAAATGAAGAAAATAAAAATTCAAAAAAATGAGAAAATTTCTAGACTTATTTATTTTAATATATATAGAGAGAGATTGGGTTATCATATTACATCAAATAAAAAGAATAAGAAAAAAAAGTTAATTAATAATTATATCTTTACCCATGCATAGCATGTATCATTGCCGCCATGTCACTCTCAAATTTTTCATAATAAATTTATTTTTTATGAGACCAAAATGCCCTTACATTAAAAATCTATATAAGAACCTCTAGGCAGTCTGAAATGGTAATAGTGAGCCCTAATTCCATTTGATTGTCAGTCATGGAAAGGATTTTACCCTTCCTCATTGCCACAATCCTCGCAACTTCTCATGCTTCGCCTAGTAGTAGTAGCGAACCTCATCTCATCCACCTTCTCCGGCCAAAACATGGCGCCGGTGGCCACGCCCTAAAAGGTGTATCATGTCTCAGCTGGCGCTTCGGCGTTGAGACTAACAACATCCGTGGCTGGAAAACAATTCCATCTAAATGCGAGGACTACGTCGGCCACTACATGCTGGGCAGTTTATACCGGAAAGATTGCAAAGTTGTCGTCGACGAAGCTATTCTCTACGCTGAGAACCTCAAACTCACCGGAGATGGGAAGGACGTTTGGATCTTCGACATCGATGAGACCATCCTCTCCAACCTACCTTACTATGCCAGACATGGATTTGGGTATGTATGTAAACTTTGTCAAGAATTCACGTTTGATGAGCATTATATAATGGACGACCACTAACTCTCCATAATTTTATTTCAGGGTAGAACCATTTAACTCAACGTTATTCAATGAATGGGTTAATACTGGAGAGGCACCTCCACTGCCTGAGAGCCTGAGGCTTTACAGGAAGTTGCTCTCCTTAGGTTTGAAGATTGTCTTCTTAACAGGAAGATCTGAAGATCAAAGAAAAGCCACCTCAACCAATCTTAAGAAAGCAGGATTTCATACTTGGGAGAAGCTCATACTAAAGTACAATTTCTTCTTAATTTCTTCTCAATTTTAATTTGTATATATTAATGGAGATATTGCTGATGACAAATATTGTTATATATATATATATATATATATGTTTTTGGTGACAGAAAATCATCCAATCAAGGAACCACAGCAGTTGTGTACAAATCAGGAGAGAGGAAGACGCTTGAAGAGAGTGGTTACAGAATTGTTGGGAACATTGGAGATCAATGGAGTGACATCTTAGGGAACAACACTGGAAATAGGACCTTCAAGTTGCCGGATCCTATGTACTACCTTAGTTGATTTTTAGGGTTGTTACTTATTGGTCCAATCTTTTCTTTTCTAGATTAATGAAATACCTGGATGTTTATTAATTAAGTAGTTAGAGCCAAAATGAAGATATTAAGGCAATAAATTTGTATTATTAATTAATAATTAGCTAGGCTAAAAGACTCTTAAACCCTCTCTCTCTCTCTTTCTGTGGTGAAACCAGAGATGGGTAGCTCGACACCCCACAAATAACAACGTGGGCTGTTATTGGGCTACACAATAACAGTGTTCCATCCCAAACCCGCAGGTAGCTCGACCTTAAAAATTACAAATGGATTAGGTCCAATCGAATGAACAATTTGGACCATTTTGGACCGGTCCAATTCAATGTTCTGACTGTCTAATTTGTTTAATTTTAATTTAGATTGGTTTTAATCTAAACCCAGTTCATTGATACCTATATTTTTATCTTATATCAATGGACCGAATATTGGCTTAATCCAATCAAATCTAATATAAATTTATTATGAATGAATCAGGTCCAGTCCAATCTCATAAATATTTTGGACTGGATTCATCCAATCCACTATGTTTTTTTAGTCCGTCCAAATTGATGTCAATCATGGTTAAACTTGAACATTCATGTCAATCATGACATGGACAAGTAACAATCTCCAAAACCAACAGCAACAAAGAAGAGATTTAAATAAAAAATGAAGGAACCAAATCTATGGTATCCTTCAATTCTGCTCTGACCCAGAACGACGATTACATTGAAGCCATTATCCAAATTAATCATGAAATACCTTGCCTTCTTCTCCTCTCCCAGATCTTTGCTTGGCTAGACAACCCTGAGACCTCTGTTAGTCATTCATTGGTAAATAAGTAAATTCTAAGTTGAAGACAACAGTAGCATCACAAGATTAGCTACTGATCGAAAATGACTTGGGAGAAGTCTACAGCAGCTTTATAGCTCTGCAACTCAAATGCATCAAAGTTTCTTATGGCATAACTATTAATTTCTCCCTTTGTGGAATAAGACTGAATGCAACTTGTCTTCTTCAGATAGCTTAATTATCTAATTATATATGACAATGGATTTTTATTAATTGATTATCTGTAATTAGTTTTGTCTTTCTGTAATTAGTTTTGTCATTATATCATATATTTTTAATATTTGGTTACCTTGGGGACATGATTTGTGCCCTTTCATTGATTATTGAAATGAATTAAAACATGATTATTGGAATGAATTAAAACCGAGCCCACATAGCTATTATCCATATTAAAACTTCAATACCTTTTCCCTTTAATGTGATGGGACTTTCTGGTTATGGGATTTATGGCCAAGTTTGGTACAATGCTCCCCATCCAAAATGGGAGAAAATGGGAATACCCTTTTGTTTCTGCATGGAAACTCGTCTGGTTAGAGATTTTGGTGAAGTTGTAATATTTTTTTTGGTTAATTTGAATGAATCGAATAATAATGTGTTAGATTGATACAGTTGAAGTGGTTCTTTATGAAAATTTGAAAAGTAATTATGGGTAAAATAGTCTTATAGTCTTTTCATTGATTGTGTCCAATATAACTCCACATTTTACTAACATGGGAGGTTTAAATTGTATTATAAATCAAAGGGGAGGTATAAGTATTTGTGAGAAAACTTGTGGAGGTCTCAGTCTTGTACCCTAATAATTAATACCTTTCTAATCATTCATTAATTATTAACAAGTCAGATCATTAGATAGCAGAGTCATTTATCGATTTTCTTGTAGAGGGTTGGCCACGAGCCGAGTCTTTTACGAGTTATTCGAATTCGGTTCGGCTTGGTTTAAATCGAGTTTTGAACCGAATTCGAGCCTAATATATAAGCTCATTTGCTAATCAAGCCAATTTCAAACCCAACGAAGTTCGGCTCGTGAGACTCGCGAGCCTAGTATTAAATAAATCATTTTTATTATATATATAGATACATACATACTTACATATATGTATGTATATATACATATATATATATAATATTATATAATATGATATATTTTTATAATCATTTTTATTATATTTTTTATGCATAATAGTAAATAATTTTTATAATTCTTAATTTTTTGTCTAAAAAATAAAAAATAATAATTATATACATATAATTTTTTATTTTTCAAAAAAAAAACTTGACTTATAGTCGAGCTTGAACTTACAAGCTATGAGCCGAGCCAAGCTCTAGCTCAAGCATGAAACTATTCCTGCAAGCCGAGCTCGAATAGCCAAGTATTCGGCTCAGCTCGACTCAACTCCACCCCTACTTGTAGTTAATAAGACAGTTAGCCATTTTGTAAGCCTACTTTGGCACCAAGTTTGATACTTTTATAAGGACTAGCTCTATAAAATGCCATCCAATGTTTTGTATGGCAGTTTTGGCGTTGTGGACTCTAGTTTAAAGACAGAGAGACAACAAAATCCTTTCAGCTCCAGCCAGAGCAGAGGTTAGGTTACTGCCTCTACGGGATGTGAAACCAAGAGGTTAGCGACACTGTGCTGCTTCAGTCATCAATTGTTGAAACAAATCTTGCTACCGTCGGTTTTCTCCATGAGATTGAGACTTTTGAAACCAAGAGATTTTCTCTATGAGATCAATTGTTGAAACATATATATCCACTTCGATTCATATAGCAAGGTGCTCATTCCAAAGAGGGTCATAGCTTTTTCAACTTGTAGTCAATTAGGCTTATATGATCTTGCCTCTTCATTCCCTTTTACCTATGCCATAAGAATATATTGAATATTATTACATTAAAAATATTTATATTGTTTATATTATTTATATTATGTATATTAATATATATTTTAAATATTACTTATATTTTAAATTTTTTATTTAAGTAAATATATTTTTCAAAAAACTTTTAATTAAAACAAATCTATGATTTAGGTCCCCTACAAAAAACATGTCTTTGTCAATGGTCGAGGATGGAGGGTAACTTTTATTCCTTGTAGAAACTGGGTCAGAAATCAGGACTTGTTTAAAAGTAGGGGTTCGGGGACAAGGATTATGGTTCTTGGCCCATTGCCACTCCTTGGTCATTTTCTTTCAACCATAGTGACTTGGTTTACATTTCTCACAAAATAGATTTGTCAAAGTAAACAATATCCAAAATATGACTAGGGCCTTCACCAATCCCAAGTGCTAGAAAGAACTGAAGAGCTATTTTTAGCAAGTTGTTCAACAACTTGTTTGGATGAAAATTTTCCCTGTCCAAGCCGGGTACTCAACTTCTCCGACCCCATCGAGTCAAGGATGGAGATTGCCTTGGTGGGGACAGAAATTGATAGTAATACCCAATCAGGGATGAGGATGGGGATGGAGAGTGAATTCCTTGCCTTGCCCTAACCCTAATTGTATGTATTAAATATATATTATATATTGAATATATACATGTATAATGTTATTTATATTATATATATATATATATCAAAATATATTTAAAATACTTTTATATTTTAAAAACTTCCCTTACTTTAAGTAAATCTATTTCCTGAATGTACTTTTAATTAAAAATTTTGGGGATTTGGGCCCCCTATAGGGATAATCCATCTCTATCGGGGTTTGGGGATGGAGGTTCATTTTTATCCTCAATGGAGGGACAATCTGCTTTATTTCCATTCCTACCCATGATTGAGTATCAAAGATCATCAATTTGCTTATAGTAGATATAGATGGAGGTCAAGCATCAATAGCCACTAACGACTTATAACTATAAACTAGTCAGAAGCGATGCACAAGCTTTATTAAGAAACATTGAGCAAGGAGCTCTATGACATAATTAAGCAATGGCCATCAATGTCCAATTCAAGCAATATTTTTTTGGGTATTGTCAAATTTATTCAGCCCTAATGCAAGTTGTGCTTTATTGGGAGTGGCCAATTTCCTATGCTCTAGATAAATTTGATTTTTTTTTGTATTTTAATGCTACTTTTTGTTAATTTTTAAACTTTATTAATTTTTTATTGTTTCCATATTAGTTTTTAAGTAAAATTTAAAAAAAAAAAAAAAAAAAAACTCCTTTTATAACAATTCTATAAACCACCCTTGTGTTTTGGTCCTAACAAAAACCTACCCTACAGTTTTGATAAACAAATGCGATTTTGAATTTTTGGGTTGTGATGGGTTGAAAGGAATTGCGATTTTGAATTTCTGAGATGTTGTGGGGTGAAAGGAATTGCGATTTCGAAGACTATGTGTTTTGGGTGAGACCTTGATTGCAATTTTGGTGAAGATGCAGTTTTGGGTGCGGTTTTAGATGCGATTTTGGCAAAGGTACAATTTTGGGTGTAGATTCGGGTGTGATTTTGGCATAGGAACGGTTTTGGATGAAAGTTTGGTTGTGATTTTGGCACAAGAATGATTTTGGGTGTACAAGGAAGAGATCTATCACGCCAACGAACACTAAAACGTAGGTTTGAATCGCGCTGGGAAGGTCTATCACGTCCAACCTTCTTGAGGTGTGATATTGAATTGCACGAAATTGAACACCCTGTAAAGGTCCTGATAATTCCCTAATGGAGTTGCTAGTCGTGAGCTCCGAAAAGCTCATGGCTGGCTCAAAGAAATGGAGTCGCCACCCATTTTCTCAAGGAAATGAGCCCTCATTTTTAGATTTGAAAATTTGATTTTAAGTCTTTGATAGTGACTTCATTCTCCATGGAAAAGGCACACAACCGAAAGATTTTGGATTCCGATAATTAGGAGAGGGAAGGTGTTAGGCACCCCTCTCTCCAAGCTGCTGCAATGGCCTAATACAGGAGTTGTTCGGGCTCAAATTCTAGTGAAACGCGAATTAATAAGATTGCTCAAAGCTCTTGAAATCTGACGAAAACATTTCCAACTTTGCCCAAAATTGATTTAAGGTGATTCTATCGGGTCTTAGGTACTTGTTTCCCTAAGACCTCACCTCTCTACCTCTTTTCTCAATCTGGAGGAAGTTGAGAATGCAAGTTTTCCATGGTTTTAAAACTTTAAGCAACCCGAAACTAAACT